AGTTGAGTCCAAAACATATAAATGTGAGCTAAAATCTAAATTTATATATAGTAAATAATTAATTTAAAATATTAGAAATACTATGTATATCAGAAATAAAAACAAGAATATGTAATACACATATGAAGCCTTCATATAAGCCGATTGATTTTTACTTTTAAGATAGTTTATTATGGTTTTATCAACATTCTATTAATAAACATTAATTGCCCCATAACTGCACTTAAAATTTAAGCTAAGCGAAGTTTTAAAACATTCTTAATGCGTATCCTGTTTGCTATGGCATCCTTTTTACTAGTTTTAAAGTATGTCTAGACCAAAAACCCCTAATGAAAGCCGATATGATAGTTTACTCCATGAGGTGCTTCCACGTCAGGCCATGGGACATTAACCAAAGTGTTTTTAAAGTGTTTGAGTGACAGAGTATATGATCATAAATCTGTGCACCCCCGACACAAAACCAAATGAGTCCTTTACAAATCAAAATCAAAATCAAAAGAACTTCCTGCTTTTTTAGGGATGCAAAATCCGGGCTTATAACAAATTTAATTTCCTCAATTTTGCCCCATAACATTTTTTGCTTCCTGATCGTTTATCAAGCTGGGGAACATTACGCTAGCAGTATGTTTCCTTGTTTAGCAAGGCTAAGTGGACACTAAAGATAAATGACCCGAATTAATACATGGTAAATTAACAAGGCCCTATGAGAATTTTTTTTTAGAAATGATAAAATGAAATATCGGAAGACGTTTTGTAATTACTTGCCAGTGCCGGCTTCTTCGTAGTTTTTCACCGATTTTTCTCTGAGGGCTTTGATCATTTTAAACTCCATGACTAAAATTGATCAAATCTTCCCTGTTTTAATGATGTGGTGTGCTTATTAATGCAATATGGATTTAATTTTCGTATAGGTTTCAATGAACGATGCGTCTGGGTATGGTTTTCCTCGATTTCCTGAAATGTCGAAGAAACTAGACTGTAGATCAAAAGACAATATTGTAGTGTCAGCGTGCCCTCCCAACAGCACATGCGTAATTAATGAGATGTCAGGATCAGGGTTTGCTTGCTGTTTGTTACCAGACGCTGTAGATTGTAAAGATGGTTCTCACTGCTGCCCCAAGGGTTCCAAATGCTCAGTTAACTGCACAAGGAAAAAGTGCTCTTGTGTACGTGCTCGGCAGTGAACTAGTAGAAGACTCGGGTTGATGAACGTCAATACAAATGCAATAAAACACACGAAGAAAACAACACATTCTCAAACGATTATAAACATGGTGTTCAGTCAATCATGACAAATCGTTTAGGAAAAAAAATAATAAGAGAGAAAAACGTGTTAGATGAAAAAATCATGACAACGGCTGACGAAAAAAGATATTGAATGACTTTATAGACAACGAGGCGTACGCAAATAAAATATACGACGTAGAGCAAAGAAAAATGCAACAAATTTCCTATGGTTTTCCGTAGCACACCACAAAAAAAAAAAAAAAAAAAAAAAAAAAAAAAAAAAAAAAAAAAAGACCACGCAAAAAATGGAAAGAAAAAAGGTTTCCAGCGCCCTCTGGCTCCGTGCGCATAGGATTCGTATTTAAAACAAATTGTCATGATTCTTTTCCTGCACATCGAACATTCGTAATTTGTTGACGTAAAAAAAAAAACGAGAAAAATTTCCAATTAAAAGATAAATAAATAAGTAATCAATTTATTCACATTGTAGTGCGAAAGGAGATATACGAGGTCAATCCGCCATCGAGAGCAATATCTTCTAAGATCGAATAAGAATTTAGTAGTCGATTTTTAGTAAAACCGAGGGAACACCCTTGAAGCGCAGGAAAAAACGAACAAACAACTCTACTCACATACAACACCAATCCCGGCAGGACTAGATCACGTGTCGCCACCATATAGTTAGAAAAAAATAGACATATATGTAGAAGATATAGAGATAATATATAAAGATAAAAAAGTGGAAAGATGTGTAACTGGACAAAATTAGAGAATATTTTTTATCTCAGAAGTGTTATGTAATGTCTTTATTTTTCGTTAGTCACGTGGTAGTCCAAGCACCCCCAGTCTTTGACATATAACTCACTCGATCGACATATTTAGTTTTATGTGAAATACAGCTGCGTGCAGAGACCTTTACGGGGAAATGAGAAAAGACACAATAATTAATTTCATACCATTTCACGCATAAATCTGTTGAATTTAATTTTCAAATTTTGCTTACAAATGTACTATACATACAATAGATAAAATAGCTGTTCAATGATCTTGTAATAGATATCAATCTGAATAATTGTATATTTGTATCTAACTATAAAAGGTCTTCTTTATTTGACTAAAATCTTTTTATAAATGTTAGAGGGATCTCAGTGGAATAGAGAAATTTTACTTGCCTCGTCAAATGATCAAAGTGAAGCAGTTCTTTATCGTTTTGTCAGTGTTTCACGTGGCAAGTAAAATCACTCCATCAATAAGTATAATAATAATAATAATAATAATAATAATAGTAATAATAATAATATAAGTTAGTATAATGGAAATCTATTCACATGCATTTATTTAAATTTTTTTGAATGTCACTGACATTAATACTATGCGTGCCTTAAATAAAACAATCTTAGTAGGCCTTTTCCAGGCAGATTTAGAATTCGTTAGTTTGTTTTTTTTTTGATACAGTAAATAATAATAAATTTGATTTTAATTAATTTGTATTTTATTTATATTTCGTTATGGATGCGTTTGTGACGGTTCATGTTTCCTGATTGGGAAAATCTCTGTAAGCAAATTTCACATTGGTATGGTTTTTCTCCGGTATGCGTACGAACGTGCTTGGTCAATGTTGAGCTGTCAGCAAAAGCTTTACAACACACTTTACATTTATATGGTCGTTCACCGTTGTGAGTGCGCATGTGCGTTGTAACCGAAGATGACTGCGAGAACTGTCGCTCACATACCCTACACTTAAATGGCTTTTCACCGGAATGTATACGAAAGTGGGCAGTGAGGTTGGCAGCTTGTGTGAAAGACTTAAGACATACCATACACTGGTACGGCTTTACACCGCTATGTGTCCTGAGATGGAGCCTGAGGGTTGAAAGTCTCGCGTACGTCTTGCCACAGATATGACAGTTCTTAGGCCCCTCTGGATTGGAGTCATATTGCGATAGGGTATCGTACCCACCCCTAGTGCTTGAAGATGGTTTCAGGAACGGTGGACAGGATGGGTATGAAGCCCTTGGCATGATTGGCAAACCACTGCTAAATACTGGAGGCATAGGTGGGTAGCTTGGATACAGGTCACCAGGGAATATAGCTGCGTGGATGGCGTTGGATGGGAGATACCGGTGGTGACTTGGAAACAGACTGTAAGGTAACGCTGATGGGGCTGCGTGAAAAATCATGGAACTCTCACCAGCTGCCTTTGCTTCTTTTGATGTGCTTGGCCTTTAAATAAAGAAAAGTCAATGCGTCATTTTCAGATTTATTAAACGATGGTTAACTATGAATTTTACATCAGTAAAAGTCAAAGAAATGTTATGGCAAAAAAAGGCTACTACAAATAAAACTTAAAAATAAACAGTATTATAGTTTTAAAAAGTAATCTCTAAAGAATATAACGAGAGCATTCCTAGTTTTTTTCCTCTAAAAAATTTAGAATTTTATGGCATTCAGGTTTACTTGTGTATTTAAATTACCTTTGCATAAGTCCTGCTGACTGTGATGCTCTTTCGCTCGACTCGCCTCTGAGATTCAAATGGCAACCATGATTACTCGCCCAGAAAGACATACTGCATGATACCTTGGGTGGATAGCCAGAGTAGACACCATTAACTGGCAGTGAGAGCGCCATGTTGGCTTGCGTGTCTGATGAAAGGCTAGAACTCATTGTGTAACTGAGAAAAAAGAGAAAAAAATAGTTAGGCGTTTCAATAAGGACTAGGCGAAAAAAGTCGAGAAATCTACGATTAATTGACAAGCATGTTAAATCAAAGTAAATTATCCCAGAGGATGGGGTTGTATCTAAAGTATGTACTGAAAGTCGTATTCTCAAATATCTGATAAAGTCAGCGTCAGCATGTGAATAATCTTTATTGCCTCGGAAAGTGTTACCAAAATGTTGTTCCTATAACTGAAAAGGCTGATAAACAACCGATAGCCGAGAAATTTCTCATGAAAACTGAACGTTAACAAGTCCAAATAATCCTTTAACGACAAGAATATGCTGTTATTTATATTAAGAACATTCTCGCGAAAGAGAAATCTTTTTTAAGCAGACAAGAATGGTGGGAAGGTCTGTCAGTCTTGTAGAAACTACACGTGCTTTTAGTCTACTAAGATCAGGTCGTAAGAATTGTTCCGTTACATCAAAGTTAACAGTTTGAACAATAGCAAATCTATGTTCATTGTTGATTGTACTTGGTCTATACACCCACAAGAAACGTGATGTTCAACAATAATAGGATATAGCAGTTAATAAGCCGTTTACTGGACTATATTAGTTGATTGTTTACTCGTAGATGTTTAAAAGCTACACACGATTGTTACGGTAAGAAGGATGGAACAAGTTTCAAACCAAGGACGGAAGAGAACAGTAAATAGGCAGTTAAAATCAGATCCACTAACTAAAAAAATCAAATAAGCTGTTTTGTATGTAAGAACATTAGCTACTGATTTAATTTTTGCCTTTTCTTGAGTTTTTATCTTACTACGGATCTTATTTGCAGCATTATAACATATAGAAAAATGTCTTTTCCCAATATCATTTTCCCCAATTTGTATTATAACGTATATCGTAAAACTCTAGCTCCCGTAACTCTCGAAAACTCTAGCTCTTCCTCAAGCTTGGCGAGAAGTCTGGTATTATAGCAAGGACTGAGGTTTGAAGTCGTTTGACAAAACAAAAACAAAAATACACCAAAAAATATATAAAATAAAATCCTAAACAATGAATTATCCTAACCTTACCTTCTGTATGTTAAGTCTGTTCTTGTAAAATACGTCTTCCTCGGATTACAGCGGAGGGCTGATGTAGTTTCGAAGTCTCCAAAGTTTTTGAAAATATAAGTTTGAATTGCGATACGATGCGAATCTAGTAGACTTGTATTGGCAGATGAAGGTATGGCGACTGCTAGATGGCTCTGGTTGTCAGTTTGACTGATGTGAGATCACTGGTCAAGCAATGCGAGTTAAATAGAGCCCCACTGAAAAGGCCAACCGCTCTTATTCAGTTTTATCGCTTCACACACAAAAAAGAAACACATCGAAAACAATCTGGGCATTCATTACTTGCTAATTTACATCTGTGTGCAAATAATGGGTCTCTTTGGCGGTGTTTTCTTTCATTCAACAAAAGTATTCTCAATTCGGGACCACTCCATTCGACGCGATCAAAAGAGGGGTTCTTGTCTTACTATCTTGACTTGATCTGGGGCGTTCCTTGTGACAGTACATCGTTAAAGCACCGTACTTGCTGAAAGGGCACACGGTCTAATTATTTAGATGGTCTTTATTGAAATACCATTAACTAGCCAGACCCTCACGGTGTTGCTTTTGATGAGAGCAATTTTCTTTTGGATGTCGAGAAAATATGTTAATATGATTGGGCACAGCAATGGATTTTAAATCACGTATGGCTTTGCTCCTGTATTAGTGTCTCGCCGCCTGAGATGTATGACTCGGATTAATCAGAAGCAACTCCAGTACTTTAGTATGGGCTCCTCATACAATGATACTAGACTCACAGAGCCGACAAAAATAAGCAATTACTTGCTTGTAATGTTAAACAAAGCCTTATAAAACTACAACTAGTAGGCAAAATACGCCAGCATTTTTACCATTCTAATCCAGTAAACGTACAAAACATAATGGGAGGGAAGGGGTGGACGAAGTATTGAAGATAAATTGGTAGCACTACCACCTTTGGAGTTAGTTTAGAACAATAAGTATAGTTGATCCTTTATTTTCATTATAAGAGAACAAATTAGCCAAACCATGTGGAAAATAAAGGCTTTAATGAGGCTTAAAGCTTAATCTAATATTTGCCTCTAAACTAACAATAATTTCTCTTTAAACTTTTACCTAACATGCTCGGACCGGGTTTTAGAACAAACTTATATTTTTTGGCTGTTTTTTTGTTTTTGTTTTAGCAAGGGAATGTGACGTGAAGGGGGTTAGTTTCTCGTTATTTTGTGGCATGCACGTGGAAAGAACACTAAAGTAGTTAACGCTTACAATGAGTGAAAACAGCACAGACTAGCTGGAACATCAAACAATAACGTGGTTTCTGATAGACCTTCCACTTCCAAGTATTAGAAAAACAATTGCTATTGTTCCTCAGACAATAATGATATTTTCAAACGAACGTTCAATGATGTTTACATTATTTACTTTGAACCGATCTTCAATCCACGAATTTATATTTTTACCTGTTTTAAATAAAGAAATCTCGCTTGTTTGTGTTAAGCGGTGGTATGTTTTATAACACGCCGTTACTCTTTACTCCAAAGGCTGACGCTCGGTGGATGCGCCAATAACCAAAGGTAATTCACACATACTCAACACTCAACCATTCGTGTCTCTTATCTTGTACTGTATACAAATAAATTAACAATGCTTAGTGTTGTTTTAATGTTTTAAGAAACGTGGATTTCCGTTTATGTTTGTACGGCACATATTTGTTTGTGAATGAAATGATAGTCTAGTCCGTGTTCATTTTGGCTGTTTATAATCACAGTTGAAGAAAAGACATTTGGTCGCTTTATGTTTTACCGTCAGGACACCTTGATAGACGCACGAAACCGAGGCAAAACCAAAGACTTTATTTGGTAATAAAAGCAAATTATGCTAAAATCTCGACTTGATTAGTCAAACCTAATATAATTTCACGCATCACCAAAAAAATCCTTACAAAGCTACAGAATTGATGTGTTCCAAGTTTTGGGTTTGCTCTTCAGTTTGTGAGCAGGCCGACACTCCACTTCGATTGAGAGCAATCAGAATGATCTTTTCCACGAATGTTTCAAAGACACTGTTTTTACTTGCGAAAAAAGGATTTCTTTTCCAATTTAATCAGTCGCGGGACGTCTCATTCTTTTTGTCCTTTATGTAACCAAATTCCTCATTCTGTCCAATCCATTTGTAACAGTTTTATTTGAGAGAACTCTACCTGAACAAGCTCGGAGTTCATTTTGGCCAGATTGATTACCTAATCACTTAAGGATTCAAGATTTTGTAACATAATTGTTCAAAATGCATCTTAAGCAATCTCTGTTGTTCTAACAGTTCTAAGTGGCCTAGACTATAGATTAAGTGTTCTATCACCTGGGCATAATATCCCAACATTTTGGTGTAGAGTTACGTTCAGCTGTCCCAGACTCCCAGCTCACCAACGAACACCCCAAGCAACCCTTATGTGAGGTGCCACATAGTCGTATTGTCTTGTTCTTCAGTATGACAAAATGCTTTAGAAAGATCCAATTTTTATGCCCAAAACCTTGAGCCGGTTAATCGTTTTAATGGCTGGAATATTTCTCGTTCCGAGCAAAAACTATTTTAGAAAACATTCCTTTAGGAGATTCAGTATACAGTTTTTTAAATCGACAAATTTATCATAATATAAATGTGATGCTCCCTAAATCGAGAAAATAAAGCATCACAGTTTTTTCACTTTTCAGTGAATATCAATTTATACATATCAACCATACTAAGCTGGTTTTGTTATCTGATATTTGAATATGGCGCAAAATAACCTCAGTTTGTATAGACGACTGTTTTTGACGGATTTTATTGACAAGTCAAACGAGTAAACGAACCTTGACATTAGTAGAGAAGCGTAATGACAATATGAAAATGATATACGGCCTGTAACTGGACACCGCGATAGAAACAAAGACTTGAATCGAACTTGTTTGACCTACCAGGGAGTTTCGAAATTATCGAATACATTTCTGCGTAAAATCCAACCTTTGACAAAAGAAATATTTTAAAACTTTAGACAGTTTTTGGTATAGAAAAGTTTGAGAAAATAATCAATCAAAAAGTTTTTATTTCAACTTGAACAATATAAAAGAAGTCCCACACTGCAAGGCTATTTTCACAATTCTGGTTTATGAATCTGAATGTTGTTGGATATACACATCACAGTGAGTGATGTCATGAATTTTCGGTTACCCAACATCAAGCGTTGCATTATGTTTCAATGAATATTTGAACTATTTTCATTAAATATTTCCACCCAATTTTCCATTATCGACGATTATTTCAATAATCCAAGACAAATCAACCAAAAGCTTCAGCAAGCTTTTCATTTTTCCTCCCATAGTTTCATTCTTTTCTCGTCAGCTTTTCTTTTTGCTTATTTTGTGCTCTGCCTTGAATTACTTCAGCGTGCTATGACAGTTAAAACTAGACTTCAAAAGTAACGTTTTTCTTATCAGGTATTTGGTTTTGTCGCCCCTGATCATAAATGAACATTTCACAGAAAAGCATTCAGTACACAAAGTTTTTGATATTTTAAGCTGATAATTTATAATGAAGCAGCTCTCACTTAAAAGTTTACGTTTTAAGAATTATTAGCTCGCAATTCTTATAGTTGATCGGAGTTAACAATTTTTTTTATAACTTTGGCAAGAAATAAAGTCCTTCATAATGATAACGATTTTGTAGAAGAAGAAGAAGAAGAAGAAGAAGAAGAAGAAGAAGAAGAAGAAGAAGATAAAA